ATGTGGCTGTTAGCGTCCCACAGCAGCACTCCTAACAATGCTGCCATGACGTTTGGCTGAATCCCTGCCTGAGCCTTTGCCTTTTTTGCATTGAGATAGCATGTTCTCCTGGTCCATGCATGCTTTTTTTTTCCAGCAGTCGGTTAACTGGTCTATCCAGCAGGTTTGCAGAGTGTCTATAATCCTGTGATGGACATGCAACATCTCAAGGGTAACCCTCTCCCAAGGATTCCTGGGACCTCACATGGATAAACAGGGACAGACAAAGGACACCTCTGTGATTACTGGGGGTGTCCTTAGTTTACCACTTGTTTCTTCTCCCTGGCGTAAGATTATAGTCAGAAATCTGTCCCTGAGGTGATACATGTTAGTTTTTAAGGAGTCATAACCGGGTCAAGCTTTTGCTGGAGTCTGAAAAACGCAGGAGGATTTTCAACCAGCACCAGAGCCCTGTGCACTTCAAACCGCCAATCTGGTTCACAATAAAAACAGGACACCCAGAAACAAGGCAGACGGGTTTTACAGCGTTCAGTGTAGTGAAGAGTACAAAGACATTGGAAAGACAAAACAACTGCTTCACAGATACATGGCTTAACAGACAAGGGCCACCTCCTTAGGACACGACTCAGCCATTCACCTACACCTGAACGCTAAAGGACACTTGTTTTTGGACAACAACGTCCATATTCTGGCCAAGGTAGAAAGATGGTTTGAGCAAGGGGTTAAGGAAGCCATCTTTTTTAACCTGGAAAAATCATCTCTCAACAGAGGAAGTGTTCTTAGACATAACCTTTCACATACTTCCAAAGCACTTTTAGAAGCAATGCACAGAAGATTCACCTCTCACCCGCCCTCACCTGACTCATACTTCAATGAGGCATGTGACCAAATCCCCTCTGACAAGGGAGTTAACAAGCCGTCAGAACCCTTTAATGACCTTTAACACGCCCCATGTGAGTACCATGGCCGAGCCTGTGGGAGCTAGCTAATTCTTTGATAGGCCTACAGTATATTATAGGTATAGAGGACAATCATTTATTTCCAAGTGGATCATCTAATTAAGTGGTCCTTCTAATTGTCAATCATTCTGGTGATATGTTTATGTAAGGCGGTCCTACTTGCTCATCCCGCTAGCTTTCTTTTTCTGCGCATGTGCACTTTTACTTTCATAGTGTGGTGAGCTACGTTTTCAGCCAGTCAATAAAGCTCACTGCGTTTCTTTTAAAAGGGCCATAAGAGAAAAAGTGACGAATTGTATGAGAAGAAAAAAAAGGCCTTAGAAGAGGCAAATATATGCTTTGCGCGGAGAGCTCTCCGCACAAAGCATAATGGGATTTGTTGTCACAGCGGCCCGACCAACGGCGAAGTGTTCATACGTATGAACGGTAAGTTGACTGAGTTAACTATAAACGCGCTGCTCTATATAGTGATTGAGGTATTTAGGGGTCAGGGTGGATGTTCGGACTTAACTGAACCTTTCAAGCCTGACCATGACCTGGAAATCTGACTTCTGTGCATCTGCGTGTTGATGTGGGGTTATTATTAGCAATAATAGCAGTTGGTCATGGTTGGTTTACCATCTTCTCTTAGTATCCTTGTGGATACTAACAGAAGTATTTAAAATGACTCAAAGGAAAACTTTCCTTTTCTTTCTCCTTCGAGATGCTCTCTGGACTGGAACCCATTTATGTTAGACATTAATTTGTAGTAATCAGTTGTTGAGTGTGTCTCCTCCTAGTGGTTGGGAGCACTTTTGGCGCTAGTTTGCAGCTTGTCTTTCGCATGTAGTTTTTGTGCTTGCAGCAGCATTTTTGTTTTCATGTTTCTACTTTGCTGCCACATATTTTCTCGAATTGCACCATCTTTGTTTTGCAGCATTTTACCCAAGCATATGTTTTTAGTCTTTGCATGTTCATCCAATTTTTTCTGTTTGCTGGACCTTTTAAATTTGCTGTGAAATCATGTTTTGACATCGCCATAGTTTGTACACAGTTGTGAACATTTTGGATTTAAATTACATTTGTTGGGAAGCTGAATTACAAGTATGGATGGACGGATGGATAATTATGGATTGATGCTGTCAAAGATTAAATCTCAGGGAGGAAAATGGGTAAAAACACATTGTAATAATAAGAGGCAACCAAGATTAGTAAAACAAGAGAAAGTGGAGATTAGCTGTTACTTAGTGGATAGAAAAGTTGTCCTTCTATCAGACACATTAATATGTTCTTACCTGCTGATGTGAGAATGGGTTTAGGTGAATGAGACTTAAAAGGTAAAATCACTTTAAGTGGTTAAAGGAATTAAAGAGAGCTATAGAGGTGTAGTTTGTTCTCCAATTAACTGTATGTGGGGCTGCTCTAGATGAAGGCACAGGATCTGCTCCGGCTTTGTATCCATCCATCATGAGATCATTAGTGGCGGCTGTCATCATAAGCTTTCCCCTGGATGAAGAGTTGATCCTGGGCGTCTGAGCCTGGCTTCTCCATCTGTTTACCTTGGACTCTCATTAAAAGCATGACATGTCTTTCATGTCTGTATTAAAAGGAAACCTAATGGCTGCATTAATGTTACACTTGAGAACAACAACAGACATGTTTAGCAGCTGTTTGGATCCTTCGTTTGTTTTATCAATCAGTTTCAGGAGGGTTACTTACCAGCTGAGTCCTCTTTTTCTGCTCCTTCTCCTTAAAGGAAGAAATAAATGAAACTCTGGAGAGTGCTGATTATCACTGTAGCTGCACCATTTGGAAAATGCCCCGCATGTATTTTTGGATGGATAAGTTAGGAGGCCAGGATTTATTTAGAGGATGCAGTGAAAAGTGTGATACAGAATGCCTGAATGCAAGCGGCATGTGTGCTATCTGGCCCACCCATCAGGAAGGCAGCAGAGCTGCTGTCCTAAAAACACCTCTGTGCCCAATCTATCCAGTGTTTTTTTCCTCACCTACAATTTTTAGGAGATTCTGAAGAAATGTTTTAAATTCAAATTGTCCATGCAACATTTCTAAAGTGCAAACGTGTCAATCTAACTAACTCTTACGATCTTAAAGTGATATTCTGCAAGATAATTGCATCTGTTAAGACTACTTCTTACATAGCATGCATTCAAAAAGTTATACCAGGTGCAATTGGGAGATTATTGCATTCATTTAAAGTAGTAGAAATTAATAATCTAAAAGAATCTGCTCTTGATTTGCATATCACTCCCAAAACAAGATCAAGTAGACTTTCTGGTTCGATTGAAGACTTGGAAACTCTTTAGAGTTAAGCCAGCAGACAAACAGCAGATTGATCAGGCAATAAATGTTTCTTAATTTTAGATTTGTTTAATCATTAAAATGTAATTATGTTCCATGTAATCAAGAAAAGCTGAACATTGATAACTGAAGCACAAAACTTTTGTATCAGACTGAATCGTAATGATGATCCTTAAAAGATTCCTCAGTATTTTTATCTAAACATGACCTTATACCTGGAGGGCAGATTATCATTTTCTCCATGAATGACTTCCTCATTTCTACATGCTGTGTTCTGTTAATATCAATGACACATAAAAGGTTTTCAAGCATTATTCCTGAGATACAGCCACATCCTTAACATCACTGTTAGAAGTAGGATTTAACACTATTAACACTCAACTAACCCAAAATTTCCCCTCTATGGGATAATAAATGTTCCCGAAGTGCAAAATTATTTATTTCTCTGATTGCAAAAGCTTTAGATGTTTAAACAGTTACAGTCGGCAGCTCCTCGTTGTCTCTAAATGCAAGTGGAGATCGTGGATGTCAGGCAGGCCTCCTCTCTTTCAGAGTTGAAGGGTCTTCTTAAAACACACCTATAAGCTGAGGCCTTTTGTACATCCTGAGAGCTTCACCCTATTTCATTTTTTTTTATTACTTTAAATTTTTTTATTATTTTAATTACTTTTACTTTTAACTATTTTAACAGTTTTTTAAACTCTTAATCTCTATTCTAGCTGTCTGTATTTTGCTTTTCTATTTGAATTGTACTGTTGCTTTCAAATATATGTACAGTACTTTGATGACCTCTGTTATTTTAAAAGTGCTTTATAAGGGTGTTGTACAGTGACCAAGTGGTTAGCGTGCACAAACCCATGGGTTCGAAAAGAGGTATGCTATGCTATACAGTCAAAAATACAGCTAACCCTCTGTCAGATTAAGCAATGTACTGTAGTTTTCGGCAAAATATAGAGTCTGCCCTTTCAGCACGACTAGATACATATTTGCAGAAAAGATATTATGGCCCCTAAATATCCTACAATCAAAAGATTGGGAAGAACTCATGGAAAGACATTGATGTCATTCTTGGATGACATGAAGAGGCACTGAAAATGTTGAGAACACTGTGTTTTCCACTTCTATTTCACATGTATAGTTGTGACCTTGCTGTCCCCTACGTTGACCTCAGAGAGTCAGCCAAGCTATTATGATACTGTAAAACTCTGTTTTTGACAAACCAATGAAAAAGTTACTAGTTCAGTCCTCCAGTCAGGATGCATTAACCCATTAGAGGGCACTGGTTCCTAGCAGTTTAACAAGGCACTGCAGTTGCAAATCAATAAAACAAAAGTTCTTAGTATAAAACCCCCAGGAAACTGAAGATAAATCATCTCCAGTCCATACAGTTAATAAAAGGGTCAATTAGATAAAAAATAAAGGAGAAACAGTCTGGAGCAATATTTTATGTATTTTAAATATCTATTATACATTTCACTAATCACTCAGCAATGTAATAAAGATGGTAATAAACTTTGTTTACTTAGTTTATTTACCAGTTTTATTTCCCCACTACCCCTTTTAGTGAAGAGGAGAGGGGGTTTAGTGTGTTTGAAGCAGCTCTTTTTCAGACTTGTCCAATGGCCTTTCTTAAATTAGCCATGGGGGCTGGGGGCTCCCTCCCCATGCTGACAGAAGGAGGAGTCAGTGCTTGTCACTGTCTACTGTTTCATTCTTACCTGCACAGCCCTGCAGCCTTCCCACCACTTGTGCCTCTGTGTGGCCACACAGACCCAAGGAGACTGAGAGGCACAGACAAACAGGACAAGTTTTCTTTTTTTCATCTTTTTTTGTTTGTTTGTTTCATCCAGGGGAGGATTTTGTGATAATTGAGCTGCGGGGTAACTGGCAGAGGATATGGCTGGTTGTCTGCAAAGTTCCCAGCTTTGCAAAAAGTGGGAATTTCTTAAATGGTTGCTCTTTGCTCTCAGCTCATGTCTGGGTTCAGTGCTCTCAGAGCCGTTTGATCCCAGTCACCTCTTCTACCACAAATCTGGACCTAATGAGAACGACATAATCATCGCCAATAATGGGATCCGGGTACCCTTCGGGAGGTCAGTGTTTTTGGACCCTGTGAATGACCTGATTACAGAAGTGCAGCCTGGTGACCGCTGCCACATAACGGTTTTGGACAATGACCCAGTGACCCAAAAACCTGGGATGTTGACCCCGAAAAAGTTTCCCTGTTCATTCGGAGCAGATGAAGTCAAGTACACTCACTTTGGATCTCGGAGCCCCAGCAGGGATCGTGTAAAGATGCAGCTTCGTTATGACTCCCACACAGACACAGTTATCGTCCCATTCATGCTGGAAGTGGAAGTGGTTTTCCAGCAGCTCGAGATACTCATCAGGAATATGCCCCTCAACGTGGAGAAACTCAATGGGGACAGCAGCCCAATTGACAAAAAGGCTCTGGAGTTTTCCTTCGAGGATGGGGTCACACAGTGTAAGATCACAGTGCTGGCCGGCGCTGGAGGTCTACCCAGGTACGGCACGCTCTTGAATAGTCCTCCCAGTGGCCAAATGGTTGATTGTGAAGAGTTTGTAAATCTGGGTGTTCGCTACAAACACACAGCTAAAACCAAGTCACCGAACAGAGACTATATCCCAATGATGGTAGAGCTGCAGGATAACGAGGGCAACACAATAATGCAGGAGCATTTTCAAACAATGGTCAGAATCAGAGAAGGTGCAGAGAACGCTGCTCCCAAACCCAGTTTTGTAGCCATGATGATGATGGAGGTAGATCAGTTTGTGATGACGGCTATAACGAATGACATGTTGGCGGCTGAAGATGTTGAATCTGATCTGGATGATTTGATTTTCAACATCACTTCACCTCTGAATCCTCAGCAGGGTTATATCATCAGCACAGATGACCAGAACCTCCCCATCACCTCCTTCAACCAGAGGGACATCAGAGAGTTAAAAATAGCTTACAAGCCACCCTCAGAGGACTCGGATCAAGAGAGGATTTTCCAGTTGGAGTTTGAAATCATAGATAGTGATGGTGCTGTCTCCGACACATTTGCCTTTATGATTGTGGTGAAACCTATGAACACTTTAGCTCCAGTTGCAACCAAAAATACAGGCCAGCTCTTATTTGAAGGTCAATCCCGAGCTCTGTCCAGCTCACAGAATTTGGAAATCAGTGACGAGGATAACTTGGAAGATGTGAGGATCACTGTTGTCGATGGTCTGAAGCACGGGGACCTCACCGTGCTTGGGGTGCGCAGGAAATATTTCACGCCGTCAGATCTAGACGCTGGCATTGTTGTGTACCAGCATGACGGTAGCGACACCTACAGCGACAACATCATCCTAAGAATGACTGATGGGAGAAATGATGTGGAATTTTTGTTTCCCATCACTATTGTTCCCACCGATGATGAGCCCCCTATAATTAACGCTAACACTGGCCTGGTGCTGTCAAAGAATGAAATGATGCAGATCTCTCCCTTCATTCTGAGTGCCACAGATATCGACTCAGATGACTTGTTTATAAAGTTCATTCTTGAAGCACCGTACTCGACTGTAGGGGAGCTCCTGCTCAGGCAGGTCGACCCCCCCGCTGACCCCTCTCAGTGGAAGTTTAGTGAGACAGATGAGATGTTTGAGCAGGTGGTAACTGAGTGGTCTCAGAAGGATATTCTCGATGGAAAGCTGTTCTACCATCACATTGGACCCCACATCACCACCACAGTAACAGATGAGTTTGTTTTTCGTGTTCAGGATGACAATGACCCTCCTAATCAGTCAGGTGAGCACACCTTCACTATTAAAATCCTCCCCATTGATGACCTTCCCCCAGAGCTGTCCCTGGGCACCACGCTTCAAATGACTGTCCAGGAATATCAGCTTACATTCTTCAGGAAGAAATTCTTGTGTTATACTGATCTGGATTCAGAAGACAGAGACCTGAAATACACAATTATCAAAAGGCCAACTGATACAGATGACAACAATCCAGCCCCTTTAGGTCAGATTGTGCTGACCGACAGCCCTGATACTATTATTACAGAGTTTACACAAGCCCAGGTTAATCACCACAAAGTGGCTTACAAGCCTCCAGACCTGGAATTAGGCATCACACCAAAAGTAGCTCAGTTTACATTCATTGTGGAGGACACAGCTGGTAACTCAGCAGATGGATTATTTACAATTTTTCTCCAGCCAGTTGACAATAAACCCCCAGAAATTATTAACACAGGGTTTACTGTCATGGAAAGAAGTTCTTTTACCATTACCATTAAGGAGCTGTATGCTTCTGACACGGACACAGATGATGAAAATATCATCTTCACTTTGACCCAGGCTCCCATATATGGACAGCTGCATTATTTAGGTATTCACATGTCAAACGGAGAAACATTCAATCTCCAAGATATTGAAAATGGCCGCTTGACTTACGTCCATGATGGAGAGGAGTCAGTAAGTGATGTAATCAAGCTTGATGTGAGCGATGGTTTCCATGAGGTGCCCATCACTCTTAGGGTCACCATAGAGCTAGTTGATAATGAGACTCCGACTATCATGCTCCCAGCTGGCGTACTGGGAGCCGCCATCGATGTGTTGGAGAACGGAGCAACAGAGATCACCAATAACATCATTCAAGGGCGTGATAAAGACACGGATGACCTGATGCTTACTTTCATTGTGGAGGAACCTCCGAAGCTGGGTGAAATCCTTGTTAATGTTGCTCCAGCTGAGAGGTTCACCCAAGAGGACCTTATCAATGGACTGGTTGTGTATGCTCACACTTCTGGTGAAATTGGTCCAATTAAAGTACACGACTCCTTCAACCTAACTCTGTCTGATATGTCTGATCAGTGGGTTGTAGGTGGCAATAAAGTCCAGGGTGTAACTGTTCATGTGACCATTCTTCCTGTTGACAGCATTCCCCCTATCGTCAGAGTTGGGGAGCAATTAATTGTGGTGGAAGGGGAGAAGAATGTCATTACCATAAATCACATCCAAGCTGAGGATGTTGACACAAACAATGACGACATCCTATGCACAATTATTGTCCAACCAACATTTGGTTATGTGGAAAATATTTCCCCAGCCACAGGATCTGAGAAATCCCGAACTGGTACTGCCATCACTGCATTTACAATTAAAGATATAACTCTAGGTCACATCTACTATGTCCAAAGTATCCACAAAGGAGTTGAACCTGTAGAGGATCAGTTAATATTCCGCTGCTCTGATGGTATCAACTTTTCTGAACGCCACTCCCTCAACATCATCGTCATCCCAGCCAATGATGAGAAACCAGAGATTTTTACCCGGGAGTTTGTGGTAATGGAAGGCATGAATATTGTTATTGACACGCAGCTACTGAGCGCTGCTGATGCTGACCTCCCTAAGGATGAGCTGTTCTTTGAGATCATCAAAAACCCCAAGCATGGTGCAATCATCCAACAGCTAAGCACTGGCACCATCCCTGTAGAAAAGTTTAACTTGGAACAGATAAAAGAAGAAGCCAATATTGTCTATGAACACGATGACTCAGAGACTAAAGAAGACAGCTTTGAGGTCAGGCTTTCTGATGGAAAACACACTGTGGATAAAACTGTTCTCATCATCGTCATTCCTGTTGATGATGAGACTCCGAGAATGGCCATAAACGATGGTCTTGATGTAGAGATTGGGGAGACTAAGATCATCAGTAACAAGGCTTTAAAAGCGACAGACCTTGACTCTGAAGATAAAGAGTTAACATATGTTGTGCGATACGGACCTGGGCAGGGCTACCTTCAGCGTATCAGCAAATTCGGTGTTGTTTTAGGAAATATTACTCTGGGGATGAATTTCACACAGGATGAAGTAGATAAGCAGCTCATTCAGTATGTACACACAGGCCAAGAGGGAATACGTGACCTGCTGAAATTTGACGTCACAGATGGTATCAATCCCCTCATCGACCGCTACTTTTACATCAACATTGGAAGCATTGACATGGTGTTCCCAGATGTTATCAACAAAGGTGTGACTCTCAAAGAAGGCGGAAAAGTAACGCTCACCACTGACCTCCTGAGCACATCTGACATCAACAGTCCTGATGAGTATCTCAGCTTTAGCATTACAAGAGCTCCCAGCCGGGGGCATTTAGAGTGCACTGACCTCCCAGGTGTTCCTATTTCTACCTTTACACAACTGCAGCTGGCCGGCAATAAGATCTACTACATACACACCTCAGAAGATGAGGTGAAGATGGACAGCTTTGAGTTTGAGGTAACTGATGGCTACAACCCTGTCTTCCGAACCTTCAGAGTGTCCATCACTGATGTGGATAACAAGAAACCTGTGGTCACTGTACACAAGCTGGTTGTTGAAGAGGGAGAAGTAAAGCTCATTACACCCTTTGAGCTATCAGCTGATGATCGAGACACGCCAGACAACCTCCTGCGCTTCACCGTCACACAGCTACCTGTGCACGGCCAGCTGCTGTTCAACAACACCCGGCCAATCACAACCTTCACCAAACAGGATCTGAATGAGAATCTCATTAGCTACAAACACGATGGCACAGAGACCAACGAAGACAGCTTTTCTTTCATTGTCACAGATGGCACTCACACTGACTTCTACATCTTTCCTGACACTGTGTATGAAACTCGCAAACCTCAAACAATGACCATCCTCATAAACACAGTGGACAATGGTATGCCCCAGATTGTGGTCAACAAAGCTGCGGCTTCATTAAAAGTCCTCCAAACAGGACACCTGGGCTTTGTTTTCACCAGCAAAGTCCTTAGATCAGAGGACAGAGACAGTCCCCAGAGGGTCCTGAAGTACACCGTGTCTGAGCCGCCGCTGCATGGCTTCATTATGAACATGGAGCTGGGAAACCATAGCATCCAGACCTTCACTCAAGGTAAGCAAGCAGCAATTGCACACAATTTCAGGCCAATAGGCTGAGTATCTGCATGTTTTTGGAACATTTCAGATTCCCAGGTTCAGCACATTTGTGTTAAATGGTTAGATAATTATCAGGCCTTTGCAAAACATCTAAAGTCTTAAGAAAGAAGAATTGAATTTTATAGATAAGCAATGAATCACTACAATTTTACAGTATTTAAAGACATAAATCTGATTCCATATGCCAATGTTTAAAATCAGATCTTTCTGAAGAGCAAACGTTAACCATAGTATCACACTTCCATTTTTCAGCTTAGGTTGGATTTTAATAATTTATGTTTATTAATTTATGTCTAAATTTTCACACAAAACTTCCATAGTAATATAGCATGTTTATATCCACAAATACCAACAAAAAATTCTCATTAATATTCAACATGACAGCTACTGGCAGGGTTCACACATGTTCAGACTTTTGCAACATCGTTGGTAATGGGGTTACTTAAGACTTAATATAGATGATAAACAAACAGCTAAAATTGTGACATAAAATATGCTTAGAATTTCAGATGTTCATCAGATTTATTTCACAGATAATGTTAAATTCTGCAGAAAATGAGGAGATGTGAGGAAAAATGTGAGTTTGCTTTCTGACATGTTAATGAAATACCTAAAATGTTAAATTACCTTAATAATTTTCATGAGATGAAACAAACTGCATTATAGCATATGGGCATATTTAAAAATAGTCAGAATTGTTGTTGATTACACAATATTAAGTTATGAAACACAATCCCAGATTTAAAAATCAAAGACCAACATATTTAAAACTTTTTGAAATTATTGTTGCCCAGAAATGTTATTATTTCATCCAAATTATTGGATTTTTCCATTTATCACAACAGCTGAGATCAACGACTTGAAGATCTGTTATGTGCTGTTGGACGGGAGCAACGCCACAAGTGACATCTTCTATTTCACCGTCGAGGACAACGGTAAGACCGTTTTTTTCTGAGCAGCTAAAATAAATTATTTACCAGGTGGTTTACTTTCACCTTAAAGCTGCTAAATATATAGAAGTTCTACTTCTGTCATTCACAAGCCTTTGCATCACAAAGACTTAGGGCAGCTGGCCATGACTGATGATAGCAGCGGGGTGCTGCAGGTTCAAAGACCCACAGAAAGCTTCTACTGCACATGAGTAAGAGTGAAAGACTGCCATGTCCATGAACAACAGGCTAGTTTTCCTCCCGGAGTTTCTTAGAGCTTTTAAAATGCCTTTAAAACATGTACTTACACCTATAGTTCATTCCAAGAATGAGAGGTTATTACTTTATATGTTGTTATTGTCTGTTTTTGCTAGAGAAAATTGAAAAATACAAATCTCTACGATGAATGAGATGTCAAACATCATCCATCCATCCATCCATCTTTCCATCTGTCATTCCTTCATCCATCCATCATTCATCCATCTTTCCATCTGTCATCCATCCTCCAGTGTTTTATTCTTTTCCAGCTTCTTATTTTCATTACACTGTCACAAGTACAGAGCAACAAAATTAACTATCTGCATTTAACCCATCCCATTGGGGAGCAGTGGTCTGCCATTGTGGGGTTAAGGGTCTTTGCTCAGGAACCCAGAGTGGCAGACTGTTGGAGTGGGGATGAAACTCAGAACTTCAAGATACCAAACACAATACCCTAACTAACTACTAGCCCTAACCATTCATCATCCATCCGTCATCCATCCATCCATCCATCCCTCATCCATCATCCATCCATCCATCCATCCATCCATCCATCCATCCATCCATCCATCCATCCATCCATCCATCCATCATCCATCTGTCATCATCCATCCATCTATTTATCAATCATCCATCCATCATCATCATCATCATCATCCAACCATCATCCATCCATCATCATCATCATCCAACCATCATCCATCCAACCACACACCCACCCATCTATCGTTCCATTCGTCCATCCATCCATCCATCCATCCATCCATGCAACTAACCATCCATCCAACCATCATCCATCTATCTATCCATTCATCCATCCATCTATCCACCCGTTCATCCACCCATCCATTCATGCATCCACCCATCCAATTTTCCCTGAAGGCTCACTACATGTGGTGTTTATCCCCAGCAGTCACTGGGTGAGACAGGAGGAAGCACTCTAAGAGCGTAAAACAAAGACACACAGGACAGACATCAGTCACTCAAACTCCTGAACATGAGGGGGATTTAGAGTACAATAACAGCCAGGTTTTATTGTGCAATAATACAATTCCAAAAATAAAACCAGTTTTCCTTTTAGTAAGACAAAAGTACCAAACGTCACACTGGAGCATCCTGTAAGGATCAAGCTGGTGGATTAATCCTGGGAAGTTTTAAAAACGTCTGTGTTGACGGATGTGGCTGCATCCTGGTTCCTGGACATGTAGCAGCATGCAGCTGCAGAGCATCCTAATGGTCACACTATCTCCAGATAAATCTCAGCAGATGAGCTGTTTGTTTGAGGGTAAAACTCCAGGTCAGGAGAGATTTGCACCGAAGATAATCCACCCAGTTTGGCCTTTAGGTAACAAACTCTTCATCCAGTGTACTGGATGCCAGTCTAATTTTGACTATCCTTAATTGTGTATGAATTTGTTAGATATTATCTTTTTCTTAACATAAAAATTTAGATTTCTTTTTTTACTTAGATAAAAGATTATTCATATCTGTTCATTTTTCTTTATCAAACGTTTTTCTGTCTTAAACAACTAAAAAGAATAAAACCATATGAAAACATTGCATGTTTACCATTATTTATAAAACATTTGTTGGAAACAATGATGGCTGTAAACGTTATTCTTTTTGAATAACAGAGTTATTCTAGATGCTGCATGTCTATCCATCCCAGACGTCACAATTTCATCCCAACATCCTTCAGCTAGTAAATCCTAAACCCATTAGTTCATTATGTTTCGCTTGATACATCAGGGTGGCAGTGGGGCTGGTGTCTATCTTTGGCAGCATATTATGGGGTTTAATCGGTCTTCCATAGTACATGGGTGAGAGGTGGGGTTCACTCTGTATTGGTCGCCAGTCTGTCACAGGGCAACACAGAGATATAGAGACACACACAACCATGCCCACACACACACACCTACACACACACACACACACACACACACACACACCTAAGGACAATTTAGAGAACCCAGTTAAGCTAACAGTCAGGATTTTGGATTGTAAGGGGTAGTACCCAGAGAGAACCCTTGCATGCACAGAGAGAACTTGCAAACTCCATTCACAAAGAACCTAGACTGGGAATCAAACTCTTAATTATGGAAATAATTGATAACACATAACATAATATATTTGATTAAAATATGCATTTCTGAAGATTTGATATCATATCTTGATTATTAGGTTTAATGCTTGAATCAGTTTTGGAATAGCTAA